CAAATGCGCAGAGAGCGTACGAAGAGGCAGGACTCCAAACATTGCAGTTGCTGCCTTTCAGCACTTCATCAACGCCAAATGTCGTTGTTGTTGTTGTTGGTTCTGTGTTGTGCTGCTGCTGCTGCTGCTGCTGCATCATTCATAAAAAATGCCATAAATGCAGACACAGCAACAACACGTAACACGTAGAGTAGCCAGCTCACCTCTTCAGGTGCGAATCTCTACTCCCCTTGCCACTTTTCTTCTCCTTTTTGCCAACGGCCTCGTCACCTTGTCAATTTTACATGTAGAGCACGTGTCGCAGCTCGTGTTGCAGTTGCTGTTGCTGGTGTTGTTGGTGTTGCTTGTGGCAATGGGAATTTCTTCCTCAACTCTAATTAAAGAGCTCTTCAGCAGACCTCCTTGAACCTGCAACAGCAACATCAACTGCAATATGAAAACTTTTAATTTGATACGCCAAAAAAAAAAAAGCGAAACTCCAGGAAAAATAAAAGCTGAAAAAATATCTTTTTTCTATCTTTCACGGTTGCAACACCTGTCGAACTGTTGCCATCAGCATAAAATAGAATCCAAATAATATATATATATATATATATATATATATATATATCTGTATAAAATGATAAATATAAAGCTCGCAGCGAGAGCAGACACAGAGCAAACCCAGAAAAAAAAGCGAACACGGCAAATACGAAGTTGAAGAAATGCATACAGCCAGCTTAATATTAAACAAATAGCACGAACAAAATATTAACAAAATGTATAACTCTTGAAAATAGGTGAGAGAGAAATAAAAATAAAAAACAAATCGAAACAAAGCCATGTGTGCTGAAACTTAGACAAATACGAATTTAAACAAATAGAAAATATTTCAATATTTGCCAAAGGCCAAATGGAAAGTTCTAACAGCTCGAATTTGAAACGCGTGTCGTTAACAATCGTTAAAGTAAATAAAACAAAATAAAAACAAATTTAACATTTAACATTTAAACTTAAATAAATAGAGAGGTTTTTAAATGGGTTGGTAAGAATTTTATTTTATTTTTAACTCAAATTTTAAGCTGATTATTTGTTTCGATTTTAATAGCAAATTCTTCTGTGTGTTTTGCTTAATTTTTAAATCAAATATAAAATATTTATATACTATACTATTAACAAAACTTTAATTAAGTTAAGTACTTGTTAAATGTTATATAAATTAGGGAAATTGTTTATTATTTTCCTCTTAAGTTTAAGGAACAAGAAAATGCAAATAAAAACCATTTTCAAAAATGCCTTAAACTTACCTTTACCTTACTTTTTACTTACTTTTTTTACTTCTAAAATTTCATTTTTTCCTTGTATTTAACATATTTTTTAAAGTTCTTTTAATATATAGTTTGCCAAATAATATATTTAGCTTAATATCATCACTTTTTGTATAATCTTTTAGTGACTTTTATTAAATTTTTGATTCAAACTTCGTTTTTGTTATAAAGTTCTTAGAATTTCATAACCACAACTTTTCTTCAGAGACTTAACAACATTTTAAGACTACCAGCTTTTCTTTCCCTAAAAAATCAAACTGGAGTATATAGATTTATAAGCTATATATATAAAGACCGTGAAGAAGTCCGTTCAATGTTTTCCGCAAACAAATCCAAGGCAAAGGCCCTGGCAAACAAACAATCAAAAAAATAGAAATACAATCATTTTCGCATGAAGTTTGGCCAAAACGCCTTCATGTGTTTGGGTTACCAACTTTGGATTTTGATTTTTTGTTTTTTGGTCTAGCTTGGCTAAAAGAAGGGGTGGAGGTGGTGAGTAGAGGGGGCATCCTCTGCACACTGGAAATTTATGGCGTCACGTTGGCAACTACTGGTTTTGATTTTTATTTTTAGAGTTTTGCCTCTAACAATTTGCGGCTTCTCCACGGGCTTTATAATTGCTTTTTTTTCTTTCCTAAATTCACTTTTTTGCCTGTTTTTTTTTAACTTGATTTAACTCAGGTAAGAGTAAGCTTAAAATCAGTTTAAACTTTGGGCTGAGACTAACAGAAGTTTGAGGATCATTCGGGCTGACTTGGGTGGTCACCAAGTGTCAAATGTTTTTCTTAATTTTTTTCCCCATTTTAAGAGTCATTTTGTTTCTAATTGTTAGCCACATTAACGAAAAAGAAGCTGAAAAAAGCCAACGTAGACATCAAGAAAATGGCAGTTTTAAAGTTTTCAAAAGAGTCAGCAATTTAAGCAGCTCTCCGGCTGTTTGGCAATGCTTCTGGTTGGCCATTAGGTGTGTGCATAAAATTATCAACAACATTAGGAGAGACCCTTAAAGAAAAAACCACACAAAATCTACAATTGTCATGCATAATTACGGCTCGGAAAAATCCAAAAGAAAACCTCAAGTGCTCAGAAAAAAAAAAACAAAAGAAAAAGAGTTAACGGCAGAAGCTTTAGAAGGGTTTTTTCCGCCGGCAGAATCTTGAAGAACTTGGCTTGGCAACTTCTTCTAGAACTTTGGAGCTAGAAAATGGCCAAAACCAAAAAAAAAAACAGCTTATAATGATGTCATTGGCAAGGGCAGTTAGCTCCATTTTCAGTTCAGCTTTTGGCAGCGTTTTTTATTCATTCATTAAAAAAATTATAAACTAAGGTAGATGTGAGAGATCGGAGTCTGAGACATAAAATTAGTTCTTAGGTATATATTTTTGGTTTTTGTGGTGCAACTTTAAGTTTATAATAGAGAGAATTTAACTTACAAGTTAGTGTTGTAAAAGTAGGTAAATTTTTTTGATTTTTTAAACAATTTTTGTCATTATAACCTCAAATTATTTGAATATTCATTACGATTTTTGTCATCAGAACTTTAAATTAAAGGGATTTTCAAAGTTTTTATTCTACCTAATCCTTTTTTTTTCTAAACTAAAAAAGTTTAACTTTAAATTTTCGTTCTCTTTTTTTATAGATTTGCTTAAAATGTTTTAACTTTCAAGGTGAGTTTTATTAATGTTATTCAATCAAAAATTGATTTCTTGGAAAATCTAAAAAAATCTATTTATTTATAATCAAATTAAACAAAAACTAAGTTTTAATATAATGATTAAGAGAAAGAGCGCCAACTTCAAAGTGTCAAGCCTAATGATAATTATAATAAAATTCAATATAACTTCTGTATATTTGTTTAGAGATAGACGAAGAATGTCTTATTTGGACAATTTTAGGCCATTAAATGCAATTTAATAAAACAAAACTGACACAAAATCCGAAAAATTGCCATAAAAAGTAGCTAAATAGCTGCAATATACACACATACAATATCTGTATATATATATATATAAGCTTATTCATACATATATATATACAAACATACGTAGTAGTCGGTAGTCCCATAGCTATCTATATGTGTGTTTGTGTAGGAACAGCAGCTCTCTATGGCTGCTATTGAAATTGAAGGCGACAACGTCGTAGACGACGTTCCGCAACGAGCTTTTCCATCTCTTTATTTTTTACTTTGTTTATTTTTGTGCTTAATTTTGTTTTTGTTGCGCTTTTGCCCCGGCTACAAAGCTACAACGGAGAGTCCGCAATCTACTCTCTTCGTAACAGTTGGTCTCTTTTTGTGGTCTCTTTTTTGTTTTTGTGGTGAGCCCCAAACACAACATGTGTTTCGTCATCAAAATGTTGTGTTTGTTGTGATATTTTAACATGTCTTTAGGGAAAATAAGAACACTTTTTAAAAACAATTGTTAGGATGCAAAATAGCGGAGAAATAGGAAAACCCCTTTTAAGCTAAGACAGTGCATAAAATAAAAGTGAGAAATTAAAAAATGCCTTTTTAAAAAGATAATTTTACTTACTTTGTTTTCTTTAGCATTTTGTGCTTTTGTTTTTCGTCAAGCCGCCATTAAAAAACAAAGTTACTTTTGCTTTTGTTTTTGTATTTATTTGTGTTTTTGCTTTTTGTGTGTGTGGTGGGGAGCTCAAGCGAAAATGCCGGCAGTTGGGAGAGCCAAAAGAGCGCCAAAGAGAGCTGTCAACCCAACCAGTTGTACCGTTCTAGTGAGGCTGCCCCAAAACGTAAGAGTAAGCAGGCCAGCAATAGTGGAGTATGAACGTCTCCCATTTTGACACTTGACACAAGGCAAAGAGAGCGATAAGAGAGAGCCAAGCACGTCACACAGCTGGTGGATACGCGTATCCGTGAGATACATTTCAGTTCGAGTTTGTATTTCGTTTGGTGAGGTTCACTTCACTGTTCGCTGCAGTTCGTTTTTGACCACTATCGACGTGTCTCTCTCACTCGCTCTCTCTCACACTCAACCTCTCTCGCGGTTATAGCCCTGTCTCTCTACGTCGTGCGTGTCTGTTTCGACTTTATTTACCTTTTATCTCACGTTTCACAAAGAATAAAGATCAACTGAAAGTTTTAGTCGTAGCAAAAAAGTGCGTAGAAAACGTAGAAAACGCATCAAAACGAAGAAGAAAAGTTGGCACAGCCCAAAAAGCAAGAAGGCAAAAAGCAAAGCAAAGTGCGCGTGTGTGTTTACGTGTGCGTGCGTGTATGTGAGTGCGTGTCTCTACCGTCGCTCCCTTTGCAAAAAAAGAAAAACAAATTAACAAAGTATCTTTCAGATACACGACAATTAAACAATACAACAATATCTGAAATTTCAAACAGCTTAGGTTTTCCTTTTTTTGAATGAACAATTAGGTTTTGAAAGAAATTTTCCTCGTTTCGTTGCGGAATTTTTGTGTGGCGTTCCACATTTCCAAACGTTTCTCTCTCTTTCGCGCTCGTTGGCTCTCATTTACTGTTTTATTCTCTCTTGTGTTGCTTTGCCGCTTTCGGGTTTCATAATTTTGTCGCTTTTAGCTTTATTTTTATTTATATTTTGTTTCGTTTCCACTGCGTTTCGCTCAGTGTGATTTTTAATTGCCCACTTTTTGGAAAATTCAAAATACAAAATTCGAAAAGCACACACACATCCGCAATATTAATAGTCTTACATTCCTTTACAGTTTCTCTGACAAAATACTATATGATTTCCCCAAGATCTTGGTGTATATATATTTTGTGCAAAACAAATACAAATAAAAACCATAAATAAAATCAAGCTAGCCTTGGCAAAATCATTGAAAAAATATATTTAACAAAATATCCATAAAAAAGAGATAAAAAAAAAACCAAAATCGATTTAAAAATATATATTTATACACACAACGGTTTCACTTTGCGAGTTGTATACAAAAAGTAATAATAAAAAATAAAATACAAAAAAAAATAAATAAAACAAAACCGATTTACAGTTAAGCACGCAAATTGATCATTTGTTTGGCCATAGAAGGGCCTTTGAAAAACCTCTAAAAATATAAAATACAAATAATACACAAGAAAGTGCAAATCAATGTGCAAAATCAAATTATATATTCAATAATTATCACATCCGATAATACATATATAATGCCGCCTAACAAACTAAGCAAACATGGATTAACGCATTTATTGTAGATTTACTATCTATGGGATACTGAAGTCAACGAGAAAGGTTTTAATTCAACTTTTTTCCAACCTAAATCAGTGACTAAAAGGTATTGTCTAGTTTTTAGTTTATAGTTAAGATTAATATTGGGAAATTAAAAAGTTCCAAAATGTTGAAAAATTGAAATCAAAGAAAGATAAAATCAAACCAAAGGAAGTCTTCCAATTTAGAGTACGTTCCGCCGAAGCAAGAAGACAGGAAGTATCTTCAGACTTTCCTTTTGATGAAATGAAATCAAAACCACAAAAAAACTCTTTTCAAATGACATTCAATCCAAGCCATTCTTATACTCCTCGCTGACTCATCAGCAGCTATCATTTCCCTTGATTGGTCATACATTTCCCATTCAGGTTTCCCAACATTTCGTCATGATTTCCTTTTGCAAGAGAACTTATCAGAGAACTCCAGTTCGATGGCTGTTAGAAATAATAATAATCTTTGAGCACAGACGTGTAGATGTATAGAGAAGTGCAGGCAAACACAAAGTCAGTTGTTCGAGGCCTATTACATAAGAAAACGTGAGTAGCCGCTGTCGCTGCCGCTGCCGCTGCCTCTGTCTCTGTCTCTGCCTCGGTTCAGTTAGAATTCTTTTGCTAATACACGAGCAAACATTGTAAACTGGCTCGGTGTTTGTCATTCATTCTCAGTCGCAGCGAGATCTTGCGGCGGCAAACAAACCCCAAAAAAAAAAACCTAACCCAAACCCAAACCCAAGAAACTGAAACCCATAAGAAATCATATCAGCATTGAGCTGAGAAAATCGTAAAGGTTTCTTTTGGCTGGCTCTCTTAGCGCTGCGTATCTCATAGATACATTTTTGTCAAGCAAAAAAAAAGAGCGTGTTGCTTATTTTTTTTTATCAACAGCGCTAAAAGCGTTGAGTTTTGCATATGATATTGAAAAATATTTATTTTGAGAACACTTTATTTATACCGTCAATGAAAACGCTCAGCTATTTTTACTAATCACTCTCTTACGCTGGCTAAGAGCGAGCTCTTAGAACATTTTGCGACGTATTTTGGTTTGATTTAATTAGTTTATTGTTGCTAGACTTGATGTTTTTTAGACGGTTTTTTTTTTTTCGTCGTGTTGAGCTATTAACTGGCTGTCGGCAATTTGGAGTTCTTTGGACAGGTTAAACCAGTTTTCCTGTTTGGCGGTTCTACACAAAAAACAAATTACAAAAAAAGAAGGCAGAAAAAACAGCAAACACCTCAAACATGCCACATTATTTCATAGTTTTTGCCTCGTTTGTTCTGCGAGTTTTGGCTTTTTTTTTTAGTCGTCCCTCAAACCTAATCTTTGCCGCTCATAATTTAATAAAAAAATGAGGAAGAAACTAACAAAATGCTGCGCTTTGGCTTATCGCCAATGTCCCCCTCCCCACCGAAGAAAAAAGAACCAAACACTAACGCACACACTCGCTGGCTGGCAGTAAAGCGGCGGCGATTAGATAATGGCATTTTAAATGATGTCTCTACTGTACAGTAGAGTCGCGAAACACACACGAACAGTGACCAAGCGACAATGGAAATGGACTTTGTTTTGAAAACTCAAAACGGCTGATAAGACAGGCCCAGTCTATGGAGAGAGACGGAGAGTTTTTCGTTAGAGAAATTGAGAATTACGGTTGGCGAGGGTAAAATATACAAAAAATTAAAAGATTTCATTGGACTATTAGACAGGGGAATAGATTCTAAGCTGGCAAATGCAATCTTAATTGCTTTCAAATTGATTCTAATAAGTTTGGGGGTCTAGAAAATTATGATCAGCTTTTATATTTGTGGGCAAACTAGGGAGATTAGAGAGAGGTTTATAGAGAATCCGAATGGGTTTAAGGTTAATTTTCTTCAAATATGTTGAGATTTCTAACATTTCCTTTAAGTTAGATAACTTTTTCAAGGGATTTATCTAAAAAGTTTACAAAATATTTTAAAAACAGCCTGAATAAGCTGAAAAAATCTATAATAAATGTAAAAAATATCTCTTTAAAAATATGTTTAAGTACTCTAATCAAAACTATTTACTTCTGAAACGTAAAATATCTTTAACAATGAAAGTTTATAGTCATGACTATAAATCTACAGTTTGAACACAAAGCCTGCATATCGAAAATATCGAAATGCTATCGATTGTTATATTTGTTTTAATCGCGAGAAGAGTGTTTTCTATCAGTTTTTAATATTTCAAGTTAGTTTTTTATTCCAACTTAACATAAAAAAATGCAAATATAGGCCCTTAAAATTATAAAGAACTTTCATTCTTTCTGTTAGATCTTCTCCAATATTACTTAACCTCCCGCCTCAGTAACTCAGGAACCTTTAGTGCTATCTCTACTTCTCTGTTACCGATTCTCCAATTCTCCCTTTCTCTAGAGAGCCAACTCCTAGTGGCACGTTTTTGGTCTTACGTTCGCTGGTTGCAACGCGCCAAAGTTTCTGTGAGGCGTAAATGAATTTGTCCCTTTGAAGTTTTCCATGTTAATTGGGAAATTAAGCTTGACCAGCTCGCCAGTTGGAACCATTCGGTGTCTTCACTTGAAATCGTCGTCGTTGTCTATATATCAGACATTTTTTATTCGACTTGTTTCTCTTTATATATATATATATAAAGATACTTCTTTTTGTGTGTGTTGCACATGATTCTTGTTGGTCGGGACTACGTTTATAATTACGTTAACTTCAATTACTGCTTACGTACAATATCAGACCAATTTTTGAGTTGTTTTTGTTGTGGTTTTGTTTTCCAGGTAAAACTGGTTTTTGTATGCCTCATTTTGTATCTTTACTGTCTCTGTACGTACCGCTGCACGAGTTTTGCTATAATTTTAATTTCTTTTTGAAGTTGAGCGCAAATGTGTTGAAGGTCTCTCTTAACTGCTATTTAAATTGTAGTTAAAAAATTGTTGCCATCTTGAAAATTCTTCGGAATCAAACTCATTATAGTTGGGCTTGGTATGGCTTATACGGCTGGAAGATCCTTACATTTTTAAGGTTTTTTGTATGAACTTATATTGGTTTTTGAGGTTATAAGAAGTTAATATAAAATACAAGTTATAGAATATTAATATTTTAATTTATAATTTTATAGTATTTAAAGTTATATTTTAATATTGTAGATAAATATTTTAGTATTTTTTGGTAGATGTCCAAGCTAGCTAGATCTCCTCTGCTCAGTAATCTACTAAAAGGTTTATCCGTTTGTGCTAAGCTTAATTTGTTAAATAAATAAATAATTTAGTAAATAAAATAATATTTTATTTTGTAGATTTCTTCAATGAATATTTTTTTCTTTTTCAGTGCGTTTGACATTGTTGTACATTTTAGATTTTTAGTCTTTTTCATATCAAGTTCTCTATTTCCTTCCTTCACACATCCCCCAACTTATCCACATTGTTTTGTTTTTTTTTTATTTGCGTTTGTTTGCCATTTTTTCTTCTTTTTTTTTTTGTGTTTTATTTTGATTTTGATTTGTTTGTTGTGTTTTTTTCGCGGTCTGCCCTGGCTGTGGGGCGTTTGCCGCATTTGAATTTCATTTTTAGATTTCAATTTATTTTCGGCGTAGTTTATGCCAATTTGGTTTTTGGGTGCGATTTCTTTAATATTATGTATGCCATATATTGTTCCCCTCTGCCAGTGTCTAAGTGTTAGTATACCTGCATGAGTGTTGGTGCTTCTTCAAATCAAATTTCTTGATTTGATACTCATTTTTCTGTTATTCTGTTGTTGTTGTTGTTCTTATTGTTGTATAATAGGTTAACCAACAAAAAAGAGCCATAAAAATTGCAAGCTCTTGCGAAATTTTAGGAGCCGTACTGTACTCGAGAAGACTCGTGCGCTTGTATTGTAGATTTCTTTTCACTTTCTTTTTGTGTCATGTGTCTGGTTTAGTCATAGTCGTCGCTGTGCGGTTGCTTCTTTAAAAGCATATTAACTAATTGACGTCTGTGTTTGTCTATAGACTAAAAAAGCAGCAAAAAGAAGGAAAAGTCAGCAAAAAGAAGAAAAAGTCAGCCACAAATATTTGACGAACTGACAATTTTGGGGCACCTAAAACGCAGGAAGCGAGGCAAATGTTTCAACTCATCAGCTCATTGATGTCTGCATTGGCTCGCTTCTCTTTGTTTTCCAACCAACTAAAATTATCTTAATTAAAAATCTTAAGTCAAAGTTGGTCTAAAAGGCAGAGTAAGTCGACGGACAGAGCTTAGCTCATCGAGTTTTCTGGGGAATTGAGAAATCTTAAGCTTAAGTTAAAGCTCTCCTTACCAAACCCATTACACATATTTTACTCTGTTCAGATTTCAAATTTTAAAAAAGAAATAATTTTCATCTGCTTTTTGTTTTTGGCCGAAATAATGTTGATGTCATAGGTTCGTTTTGCTGGGCGGTAAAAAAACATCATCATTGGTAGGCATTCAGTCCAAAGTTGTGCTTGTGTGTGTGTGTGTGTGTTTGTGGCTAATGCAAGCATCCAAAAAGCAAAACAAAAAACAACATTTGAAAACGACTCAGGAATGCCCATTATATATGCCAAATATTTGCTTTGTCAAAGTATTTTTCTGGTTTGTTTTATGAGTATTAGTTGATTTCGAAGTGGTGGGTAGGTAAAGGGGGTAGCTGGCTAATGGGAAGCACAGAAAGCAGTCAGTATAAACTATAGTTTTGACTGATTAGGAAGTATGACTATAAGAGTATGAGTCACAGATCCAAAAAGAGATACCATTAGCACTTACGATGTAACCAAAGATAACTGCGTAATAGGTTAAAGAGTTGGCAGAAAGTGGGTAAAAAGTGAAATATAAACTTAAATAGTTAATACTTCTTATTTTATGATTTATTTTTTAGTGAATTATTTATTCTTATAATTATTATTATTTTTATTACAAAGTAGATTTAGGCTTGCAAAACTTAAAACTTCTGCTCAAATGGCCTTCGGCTGCAATGTACAAACTTTTGTGATTTTTAGTAAAATATGTAAATATATTAATCCCTTATTCAGATAAAGCATTCCCATACGAAATATAAGTTCGTTTCGATTACCATTTCC